TTTCAACCTGGACCTTATTTTCCTCTGTTTTTGTGTCAAAGTGACAGATGGGGAATTTTTGAATCAGGTCCAGTCTTTCAATTTGATGGCCCCCCATATTGACTTGAGTATACAGGGGTAAGACTACAAACTGAAGAGCAGACGAGGACAGCGGGGGCAACAGGCAGAGAAGGGTGAACCAGCTGCTGCAAGGCTGTGAAACTTGGGAGACTGGTAGTTTCCTATGGGTGCTGTGACCCTGTGCCCACAGAGGAGATTTCACAGACAGAATCAAGCAAAAGGTACCAAAAATGTTTCATTTTCATTTGTCTGTAGGGTCGTCCATAGTGTTGTCAGACACTTACAACAATCGAAGCCTGTCAGTGGCAACTGCACTCTCACTCAATACTGGCCCAAATTCAACACGAAAAAAACATGGGAAAATAATGTCCAGGTCGAAAAATACCTAGGTGGGCTTCAAAGGAAAATGCAGCTTTTCATTTTATTATTTATTTTCCCTCTAAAGCGGGGGTCTTGTGGCCACACCATGAGAGTAAATTTCACCAAGTTGATTTAAGTCTTTAGTATGGACTGTTCTTCCATACCTGTGGGACTAATCGTCATCCTCAGCTCTGACTGACCGGTGGTGGTTATAGGACTGGTGCAGTGGGTGGGGCTTTGGGAGCGTCCTGGTTGACTGTCTACACTGGAAACCCTGGACAGACCAGTACGCAATGTGGCTGTCTAAGGGGGAAGAAAAAAGGCTGAAATCATAAAACTGTGTTGAGCAAAGCAGCTGTGATGTGATGTATGATCAGTTTGTGGTTACATTACCTTTGAGGGTTTGAACTGTAGTGGAAATTTGGCCTCAAAGCTTTTAAGGGTTTCTTCTCTGCCCACTGAGTTTCTGAGCTCTGCGTTGTCGTCACTTTTGTTACTGTTGATGGTATAGTCAGCATACGAGCCTGCAGACAGCAAACACTGATTCATGAATAGACTCGAATTCAACACACAGACCCAATTGTTGGCTATAGACATTTGACAGAAGTTCACAGAAACAATGATGCATTAAAGGGGAACTTGGCAACTCTAGCCATTTCTTTGCTGGTTTTCACTTTTGTCATCACACGTTTTCTCAACTAACTCCCCCTACAGCTCTGGGACATGTATTTCACAACACGTC